ATCAATAACAAAAGCTAATTAGGAAAAGGAGAAAAAAAGAAAAGAAAAAGAAAAAAGACTCATTTGATGGACATTATTGTTTTACAAGGAATTTCGGATATTGAAACCAGTGTCCTTGCCATGAATGAGTTATATTCATAATTTTTTTTTATTTTTTAAATGACAAGTTTCATAGGTATAATAAATGATTGGCTTTCTATTTACCCAACAGTCTCTACAGAAGTTATTAGTGAGAAAAAGGAAAGAAAACTCGTAACTAGTATATACCTCTTCGTTGAGCTACAACAATGGCAACAACATCAGATAGAAGCCCTCGTTTATCCACCTTCGCTCTTGTACCTTCAGTTACAATTACAATAAAAAAAATAGCATTTAATACACTAAACAGTTCAGAAAAGCATATTGGAAAAGAAAGAAAGATGGCGTACACAACATCCCGAAATACTCAACTTTTAAGCCGAAAGATATATTAAAAGAGAAATTATGTTAAAAATTAAAGAGATAAAGAGAAGCGACACTAACAGTTATATATCCATCGTCTCCAAAATGCTAGCTGATCTCCTCTAACAAATGGTGATAGTGTTTGAGCAAGAGTTAAAATGATCGGATTAGTATTCTTCTTAAAGATTCTATATACTGCAAACTTTGGAAAGCGGTGGAGGAGATTGAGTGCAATATCTTATATATGTCAAATTAAGTACATTTGTTAGAGAAAAACGAAATAGCAAAATTATATAAAGAGAGAAGATGAATGTTAGAGCTCTCACCAAACATTTTCTTATTTATACACTCTTCGAGGAGGTAGAAGCCATTGTCTCCCCTTAGACATTGTCTCGGGGTCTCGCAGTAGAGGTAGCGAGTCATGTCCTCATGGCCTGCCCTGCAAGCCAATTGAACCGGGAGCTTATCGTCGCCATTTGGGATAGTAAGCAAGTTCTTGTCCTTTTCAATCAAGCACTTTGCAATTTCCATCATTCCCCTATGAGCAGCAAAGGAAAGAGCTGTGTTGCCACTCTTATCTTTTATCCTCAAGTAGTGACTGTTTTCTTCACGACTAGTAATAGTGATCAATTCCTTAGCAATCCTTAGCTGACCAGCAGCAATTGCAACGTGAAGAGCAGTTTGCCCATTTTCAAATGTTGTAGATATTGCATGAGCTGGATTTCTTTTAAATAAGTTTCTTGCTTTCCCATAGTTCCCCATAGCGTCAAGCATGGCGTTTGCTGATGGCTTCCTTTCAAGATTATTTCGATCTTGCAAGCCAATAATGGTGGTATAAGGCAATAGTGTGTGCAAGGTGTAAACTAGCTAGTTCCATGTGTTTGCGTCGGGAGGAAGAGTTTAGACAATGATTAGTAAACCTTTTAATTCAATATATTATTATTTTTTAATTTAAAATTAAAAATACATAAAGTTAAAAATATAATTATACATAAAAAAATATAAGAACCAATTGAATTATTTGTATTTATATAATATTTTAATAACCAAACCAAATAAATATCAAAAAGTGTATCAAATAAGACTATAACTAATAATTTTCTGAATAGTTTTAGTCAGGTGTACAGTAAAATAAAAGGTGTTAGTCATGAAGGTTAGGTGTAGGTGAGTATTTGTATCCTAGTACATCTCAAGTTAATTAGTTATTTACTTCAAACTTTTATGCTTAACTAGACCTTAAGTTGTCTTTCGCGCAAACTATTTTTTTTAAAGATTTTTAATAGTTATAAGTTTTTATAATAATAATTAACTATAAATATATTTTACAGCACTTTTTTCATAATTAGTAGTTGTAAATGTATTAATTAAAAAAAGGTTTAAATTGTAGGGATGAAAAACATTGAAGCTTAAAAATTTAATAAATTTAATTTTAAAAAATAAAAAATAATTTTCATAATTTGTTACTATATAAAAAAATGATTGGTACACTCTTTAATTTGACTCATCTTTTAATACCACTCACTTCAACTATTAAAATATTATATAGACACAGCTAATTTAGTTAGTTCCAATATTATGCATGTATCTGTGCTTTTAAATTTGTTTGTCTTTAATTTTAAATTAAAAAATAATAATTTTTAATAAATACATTGTATAATATGTTGAATTGAAGGGTGTATCAATTAGTATCTTATTATATATCTTTTTAGGACATTGATTGATACATTCTTTGTTCAACACATTATACCACATACTCATCAAAAAATCATTATTTTTTAGTTTGGAATTAAAGGTAGATAAAGTTAAAAATATAGTCATACATAATCAATTATATCTCTATTATATTTTAATGGTTGAACCAAACAAATGTAAAAAAAAGTCAAATCAAAATATATACCAATTATTTTCCATTATTCTTTGAAGCACTTTCAATTTTCTGGTTTGTTTCATCATCATATACTTATGTTATTGTTATGTATTTTAATTCAAGCTTAACTTAATACATTTATCTCCTACCATTTCTCTTTCTTGAACTGATATTTTTTCGCATTATTTTGGGTTTTAATTTATTATTTTTTTTGCATTTGTTTCACCTTTATTCTCTCGTATTGTGTTTTGTGTGTGTGTGTGTGTGGGGGGGGGTGTATGTATATATATATATTTTAAATCCCTCTCTATATTAGTACTTTATTTTTTTTATTATTGGATTGCAATATTATATATGTTAGATATAAACTACTCTTTATAGATACTTTTTAAAAAGTCAATTGGATATTTATTATAAATTTTTAAAACCCATTTAGTATTTAGTGACGATTTTTTAAAGTACAATGTGTATTTATTGAGGATGTTTAAATTCTAATGAGTAATTATTTAATAATTTTTGGGAGAATTTTATTGTTATGACAATTTTATATGTAGTTAAAATTAAGATATTAAATACTTCGTATATTTGTATATATTATATTATGAATAATAATTGAAATTTTTTATACGTAATTAAATTATTATTAAATAATTTCAATTAATTAAAATTCTTTTAATATATTGTTATTCAAATGTTGATCTTTGCCATTTATATATACTATCTTCCTCAAACTTTAGTTTATTAAAAATTCAGAAAACACGCACAATTATCAGAGCTTGAAATTTTGTATTACATAAAGATTTCATATTTATTGTTGAGTTTTTTTAGCAACAAAAAGCTTCAGCTCACCCAAAATATGACAACTAAATTAGGAAAGAGATGATTAAACTTGAAGTAAGTAGTAATAGTGTTATATAAAAATACAAAAATGTGTTTTTTAGATGGACTTGTAAGAATCAAAGTGCAGATCAACCTAAAAAACCTCAACCCCATAAAAATGTTAAGCAAAAGTAAAAATACAACTAATATAAAGTTTCATAATTTGAAAATGTTTTACACAAATTTTCACACAACACTTTATCTAAAAATATAAATTTATTATTTTCAATTAATTTTAGTTAATATTTCTATATTTTTATTAATTTTAATGAATATATTATATATTTTTAACATAATAAAAGAACAAAGATAGTGGTATTCTTTTTTTAAAAAAAAATAGAAATGTAGCATTTTGTTTATGAGCCCATCTAAGGCTCTCTTAATTTCTTCTCTCACATAACCCCTATGTCGGCCCGTACAACATCTATCCAATAAGAGAGCCTCCCAATTTGTTGCCCATTTTAGAGTTTGCATGGTTTGAGAAAAAGAAGTGGGGAGGGGAGACAAAAAAGAGACTAGATGGGATGGGTGAAAGGAAATTGGAGGAAAATGAAAATGCAAGTATACAACATTTTTTCATTTTTCTCCTTTTGCCTCTGCTTTCTTCTATTTTTTTATATCAAATATATTTTAAGTAAACATCTCTCATTATTCTTATTTTTTTAGTTGTCCTAATTTAAACTTGTAAATTTAAAAGGGTATCTTACAGAGCAACCAAAAATATAACGATTAAGGCTTAAAATACCTTTGTTTATCCCAAATAAAAGCATTTCTCATTTATCAATAGCTTAGAGTAACATGTGTAAATTTAGAATAAGAGCATTTAATGTCTTCCAAAAATAAAAGGTAAAACAATTAAGAAAGAACCTTAATTTAATAAGAGAGATAATCAAATAAAACTATGGAGTATTTTTTTTTGTATAATTAATTTTTTTTTTTTTGTGTAACTTTTCAAGAGTTTTTGTTAGCTCTATCTATAGGAGAGGAGAGTCTCCCCTAAAAATTTATATTTATAGGTTAAATAAATAATTTTTTTGTTTATTTTTAAAAGATTTAGTTTGATTTTTGAATTTTTAAAATATAAATTTTGAATAAAAATTTAATAATCTTTATAAATAACAATCAAATTTTTTTTTATCTTTATATATAGTTTTTGTTAAGTATTTTTATATAATTAAAATAAATTTTTAATTAACATTTATATAAATTATTAAATTTTTATCTAAAATTTATATTTTAATATTAAAAAATCAAATTAAATGAATAGAAAGAATAATATGAATTGGGATGATGTAACATGATGAGTCCCTCCCGACGTAAATGCTTTAAGAAAGAAACGTAGAAAAATAGCAAATTCAAACAGCGGTAGAATGTTACCAGGCGTAGTTGATCTGTTCTGGGGGCCAAACTGCGTTCCTTCATCAGGAATTTCTTTTAATAACTGCTTTCCTTCATCAAGATTTTCTTTTATTTCAGCAGTTCTATACTTCAATTTGAAAACCATCCATTTTTCTCGATAATAATGCATAAACCTTGAAATCTTGTTAAACAAATTAAGGATGAGTTTCCATGGCTTGTTGGCACTGGATTGGACTTCTGCAGTTTGTCCGAATATGTTGGCATGCTCTATCTCCGAAAATATATCCGCAGTATACAAAAGCACTTCCACCATTTCGGCAAGCCATAACTTCACCATGATGTTCTCGCGATATCGCTCAGCATCTTCAACTACAGGCATCGTGTCCTCCAACACACTTCTCAACTTAATTAGCTCTGTAGGAATTTGATTTGATGAATTCCGCAATTTACCTAAATAAGTTCGGACATCTGTGTGCAAAATCTGCAACGGAAGCACGAGTTTTCCTGCCAGAAAAAATAATAATAATAATAATAAAGTAAAAGAGGAGTGTGACTGACCGTTCATTTTACACGTGATTGGGGGTGTGGCAGCCGCACCTTAGAATGTATTATCATTTCTACTTTAAAAGTGGAACACGTGGCGCTCTCTCAAAATTAATGTATTAC